CGTCAAAAGATTGCAAATTTGACTCGGGTACAAATGTATTCGATCCTGAAATTATCAATACAAACATTATACATTATATATGAATGATTCAACATGAGTAATTGGGAAGTTAAATAACCTTACCAGCGGCGCTAGAACCAGAATGCAAAGGTGTATGTGACGTGGTCAGAGGTGATCCTGATGCATCCATCTCAGGGGTGGAAGTATTAGTCAAGGGGTTGCTACAACCTGCTTCGGCATCGTCTCTGGATCGAGTCATGAAACTCTGTCGTAGAAGTCTCAAGCTATCCCTCGCCGAACTAACAAAAGATGGCATCTTTGAGCTTTTTTACTTCTTACCCTTACCTTTATCTGTCATCTGCACATACAAAACACGTTAATTATAGGATATGCTCTATAATGGTTGCATTGCTTCCAAACTTTAAATTCTTACATGACTTACACGGACAACGCATGTTATTCTTAGACCGATCAGCATTGGGATTCGAGGAACAAATATCCACAAACTTCATGACATTATCAACCCATTCTTTACTAACTACACCTTCGGATTCAAATTTATTATACATCCATTCACGATCACCAAATCCAGACATTGTCGTAAAAAATCAACACTGTTTAATAAAAAAGAATCACAAATTGAACAATACAAATAACATATCAATAGTTCAAATTAATTCTCAACTTAAAAAGTACAAAAAAATACAACTTACGTTAAAAAATACAACTCTTTTTATAAGTTAAGAACATTTTATTAACAAAAATTTAAAAAAAAATCCTAGAACCATATCAAAAAAAATTTCCTAGAATCATATAAAAAAATTCTTAAAATCAAATCAAAATTTCGTATGATAACAATATATGACTTAAAAACGCATATAAAAAAGCATATGATAAATTTCCTAGAATAAATTTAATCCACTTTTAATATCAAATTTAAAAAAAATATCAAAAATAATACAAACTTTAAACACAATACTTTTTTTTAATAATTTACAGTAAATCAAATCATATTATCATACAATCACATGAAAAAAGTGTCAAATAAATTTCATAATTCAATTGAGGGAAACAATTAGGGTTTTACCTTGACTCTGTGGATGTCGAACGGCAGTTGGGTGGGTGGAGGACCGGCAGACGGCGAACGATGTTCAATTCGGCAGCAGCGATTTGAAGCTCGGCGGTGGAGACGATGTTCAGAGACCTGTGCGCTGCGTCGAAATCAGGCGTCAAGTTTAGAGACGAAGTGAGCCTGACCGAGCAAGGGATAAGGTTATTTTTTAAACTTGCGAAGGATATTACCCCGTCGCAGATTCCGTCGCAGGAAATGAATTAAAAAGTTGACGGTCAACCGTTTGCGACCGAATGCATGTACCGTCGCAGATTTGCGACGGAATATACGTGTCCGTCGCAAATTTTACCAAATTTGATAATATCTTATTTTCGTCGCAAAAATCCGTCACAATTTGGGACGGATTCCATCCGTCACAGAAATTCTGTAGCAATTTGAATTAAATCTTGTAGTATGATGCATGATACCCCTGACTTAGTCTCACTTGACAGGATCACCCCTGCACTCCGGTAATGGGCCGGGCTCGACGAAAACGTCGCAAGTGAACTAGAAAAACTGGGTGGTAGCCGTAGCCTGACTACCATGTACGTACACAAAGCCCACCTGATGAAAACACGTTGGATCCCAAAGGTTCCTGGACGGGCCCACTGTAGTAGGCGCACGAAAGCCTGACCTCCCTACATCGGTATGCACATGATGATAAACCTAGGACATGCGTCTAGGATGAACATGATGAAATGAATGCATTGATTGAAGAAGGAAGTTAAATTCAACGCATACATATGTGTTTGATTACAATTTGTTCAACATGATGGCCTTAGGTTCAGAACTGGCTGATAATCGATTGTCTACTGCTGATAATTGATTATCATGCTGTGCAGCTTCTGTTCCCAAAGTCCTGCAGACTGTGATAGTCGATTGTCACCCTATGACAATCGATTGTCCAGTTGGTTTGTTCGGGTAGTCCTAAGTTCAGAGAGCCCTGATAATCGATTATTGCCTATGTGGTAATCGATTATCAGTGAAGCCAAATCAGACCCAAGAATCCGCAGGGCCTGATAGTCGATTATCACATATGTGATAATCGATTATCACGCTGTGCTGAATCAACTGAGGAGTCCAGCGTGGCCTGATAGTCGATTGTTCTATTCTGTAACTCGATTATCAAGGCACGGTGACTTCCATTAAATCTGTTTGTTTGTCATGAAAACGTTGGAAGTTTTAGAAACGAATGTTTACATTTCCATGCTAAGCAATCGATGAACTTACAAGGTTTCAAAACATTTACATTAACGAGTACATAACTTTATAACGTGGGCACACGTATGTTGGATGGTTAACCTACGAACATGCATAGATTCTACGTAGGTTGCGTACGATATTCCTATGAATATAACGACATAGATTATAACTAAATGTTCTAGAATTAGAGGGACAACTACTCACCTCTAAATGAAGGGATTAACGGAATGATGGAACGAGATGAACGAACGGTTGTCAACGTTGAACGACGAACGAATGAATGAACGACTCCTCGCGTAGCCCTCCTTCTCTTCTACCTCCTCGTCTTCTCACCGGAAGACTCCTCACCTAGCTGCCGCTGTGATTGGTCGAACACCAATCGAGAGAGAGAGTTGTGATGTTGAATGGGAGTTACAAGTTGGTGAAGGAGGTGAATGGAGGAGGGAGCTTTATAATCATGTGAAATTATGGGGATTTTTGGGGGTATAATGAAGGAATAATGATGGGGGTTATGGAAATGAAGAGTGTAGTGGCGTGTGGTTTTGAATGGGAGTTATCTCCCTAAATTCCACTCCGTTGTGTTAAATCTGACCTGAACGGTACGCGGTTTTCCCCCCGAACGGGTCCGAATTGAAAACCGATTGCGTTTCCGGAATCAGACAGTCAAAACGAATTTAATGACATGTTCAAATAATTTTTCTAAGAACTTTATTTCAAAACTTCCGGGTCCACCCCAACCATTAATTAATTTAATTAATTAATGTGGAGAGGTCCGTTATTAAAACATCTTTTACAATTAAAATACATTAGCTTTGGAAAAACCTTTTAAGGAGATCGAAATCTCAATATTTATTATTAAAAATAATGAGTCTCAATAAATAAATAATATTTATTTATTTAAAATATTGGCTAACTGTTAGGCCGGTTTGTAGGGCATTACAATTATCCCCCCTTAAAGGAATTTCGTCCCCGAAATTCTCTCCAAGTCGCACCTCACATGTTGAGGGAGATAGTGTCTTACCCAAAACTTTGTTTTGTGAAGCATACGAGGGCATAATGAATTAAAGACCAATTGACGGATTTCATTGAAGGAACGTATTGGGTTTAGTTAAGTGGGACGAAATGTTGCATTGATTACAGCTTCGACTATGTCATCAGCTAGCAGGCAACCCACTCCCACTCGTCTAGTCGGGCTGAGTCCACTAGGGGATTATCCACACCTGCGCCGCAGATACTGTTAGCAGAATCCACTCTGAACATTTCCTCTGGATCATCTCTTTCCCATGCTGCCTTCCGGCGCTTCCAGATTCTTAACTTTGCTATCCGAGCCTTGCGGTGTGCACGTTGATAGCTCTCTTTTGAATCGTAACTTTTCCTCTTGTTCTTTCGTCTCTTACCGAGCACGAAGGTTCGACTGGAGTCAACGCTTGACACGCTTTCGGTACTCATGGTACTCATCTAACAATCGTAGAGTATCAAAATGGGAACAAGTGAGCGCATAACTCAATTAGTTTGACGCTTCATTGTGCGCTCACGTGCTGAGGCACTCCTATGTGATCTACCTATCCGACATTGCCTACTGCTTGGCTCATTTTCTATGAGAAGCTTACATCATAGCTAATTACAATATGACATACATGTGAATAAAACAACGGTGTACCTTTCCCTGTGAGCGATGTGATGGGAGATGCGGTTGTGGACTTTTTTAAAATACCCTTTGACCAAGATGACAAAATATGTTGTTTTTTTTATTTTCACAAAATCGAACCTATCTCTGATACCAAATTGTAACACCCACCTTCCGTGGACCCGGTTCACCCGCGACCCAACGGACCGGTAGGGTTACATGGGCGGTCCGAGAACCGTCCGTAGAGGAAAACGCATTAATTTCCATTTATTGTGAAAACGGCTACCACCCAGTTTTGCTAGTTCACTTGCGACGTTTTCGTCGAGCCCGACCCATTACCGGAGTGCAGGGGTGAGTGAGACTAAGTCAGGGGTATCATGCATCAGGTCATATCGTCATCATAAATGTTCATGTCACGTCAACATTCAAGGTGGTTGTCATCACCATGTATGTTCCCCATCATGTCCATATTCAATGTGGTAGTATATCATTTTGTTATGTGTAACAATATCCCATCAAGTACAAATTAATCAGTTAGTAAACATGTGTTTTTCCGTACGTTAAGTACAGGTATTAATATGTGTATGACCATATGGGTTATCACTTTATGTTCTTTTGTTAGATTCACTCCTCAGCTTTTGCTGAGCGTGCAGTTGTTTTTGCTACACGCAGGTAGACATGACGGTACCCCTGGAGGACAGTGATGATGGGAAGATGGGCGGCGCGCGGACGAGTTTAATAATCATAATCATTGGAACTAATTAATCATTTGGGCATGAACCCATCATATGTCGTTTCACTTGTTTTGGACTCACATATTTACTTCCGCTTTTACTCTGCATTTAAATCACACACGTTTTGGGATTAACTCCCTAGCATTTATTCCACTAATTAAACACAACCGTTTTCACAATAAATGGACATTAATGTGTTTTCCTCTACGGACGGTTCTCGGACCGCCCATGTAACCCTACCGGTCCATTGGGTCACGGGTGAACCGGGTCCACGGAAGGCGGGTGTTACAATTTCACCCCAATCATTAATTAATTTAATTAATTAATATGGAGAGGTCTGTTATTAAAACATCTTTTACAATTAAAATACATTAGCTTTGGAAAAACCTTTTAAAGAGATCGAAATCTCAATATTTATTATTAAAAATAATTAGTCTCAATAAATAAATAATATTTATTTATTTAAAATATTGGCTAACTGTTAGGCCGGTTTGTAGGGCGTTACAATGCTGCTTTTCCGGTTCTTGCTGTCTCTCAGTCTCTCTCTCCGTCTCTGGGGGAGCTTCCATATCCTTCTGCCCTCCAATTTCTTTCTCCTTCGAAGAGGAAGCTTCCAGTCCTTCCTGCACTCCAACCTCCTTCTCTGTCGCAGGGGAAGCCTCTGGTTCTTTCTGCCTATCAGCTTCTTTCTCCACCCCTTCGGAAATGGTTGCGGCTGGTGGGGAGGTATTGTTCACCTCAGGCTGAGGCTGTACTGCAGGTCTCCTGAGCGCTGACTAGTCCAGAAGTTCATCTCCCTCACGATCTAAGCTATCCGGGTTGGGTAACTCTAAATCTCCGGATGCGGCAGCAGGAGTGGTACTCTGGGTACTAGAAGATGCAGTCAGGGGGCTGGGCGAAGCGGGAATACCATCACCCTTATTCTTCTTGGGAAGGAAATCATCATCAGTGACTCCTTCCCGCGGCCGTTTTTGGGACGGGGTGGGCTTCCTTAGTCAGGGAATGGCGGAGATGGGAACAGCCTCTAGGGCAGTAGCCGACTTGCGAATAGCCAAGGCATTGGAGTTACCTTGAGCCTGTCTCCCGGAGGAACTCCCGGCTGGATTAGGTTCCACAACGGGAGAGGAGCCTCTGGCCTTTCAGGGGAAGACACCCATTCAAACGGAATGGGGTTAGGACCTAGAGGGTAGTAAAAATCTGCCTTCTTGTATAACCTGGCGTCTTGAAGGGAGTGATGTGGAATCAAACTCACTTCCTCTCCCAAGGCGTTGTATGCAGCCTCCGCCAGGAGTACTGCAGCGAACTTTATCCGAGAAATAGAACTACGGCGAACAACACCCGGCAAATCTAGGGGACTATGAACCGGGAACTCAATGACGAAGTAGTAGTGGGACCATTTGTCGTGTTTAAACTCAACCCTCTCAAAAATTGGAGCTTGGGGATGAGGAAACAAGCTGTAATAGGGAAAAGGCCCACCAATACTGAAAAGGATGAGGAATTCGTCCAGTGTTGGGGTTCTGTCAAGGGCACATCACCGCAAGATATACGACGCGACATACTTGTGCGCATTGGCGGTCAACTGGCCAGGAGCAAATCCGAAATGGCGGCAAATGTCGCGGAGCAGACCATGGAGGGGTAATCTGAACCCATTCTCCATAGAGTGATAGTGCATGACCATATACTTCTGAGGGTTTGGGTTGTGGGATAAACTAATTCCTTCGACAGGGTCGGGATGATGGACCCGGAAACCTTTGCCTAGAAGTCCGGCCATTTCTCGAAGTTCACCTTCTTTGATGATAGAGGGTTCGTGGGTCCAGGCAGAAGGGGCCATTTCGGAGAAAGAAACGAGGATTTGGGACAATTGTAGTCGAAATTCGGGTCGGGTCAAGATTCGGCAGCGAAAGAGGGAGAAGACGAGTCCAGAGGGGGTTATATCCGTTGTAAGGAGGGACCCAAGGCACTTGAGTGCGACGTTTCTAATCCGACACGAAAACCGAAGGCGGCTCATCATTAGTTTTCTAGCGACACGTCACCAGAAAACTAGGGGGCTTGTGATGGATATCGGGTCTGATGGACCCGATTCCAGCCCAATAAAGGCCCACAATAGCACGAAATGGACAAGGCCAAGTGCCAGTAGCGGATTGAGCCCACTAAGACGCGTGTGGCGAATAAGGAAGGACGGCCCAATCATGGGCTAGATTAAGATGACCCAGTCCAAGGAAGGAATGGGACACGTGGCCCGCACCACCAAATTGTGGACGAGATGGGAAGAGAACGAGACCGGAAAAGAGGGAATCACAACCCCATGATCTCCATAATCCCTCCCATTATGTATAATTTTAATTACGATATTAGAAGTACTATAAAAGGGGAAAGAACCCGCCATTGTAAAGGGAGACAACTGAAACAATTCTACACATAATCAAAGAACATTACTACGAGATTATATCTTTCTGATTCATATTACGTTCTTGGTCCGCCATCTGATCGGGTTAATCCCATCAGGTACCTACGGTGCCCCGTTTATGAAAATGATGGTTCCTAGCCCCCCTAACCCTCTCCCTAAACCCTCCACCCCAGCCCCACCCTTGCCCCCCCACCCCACCCCCCTCCCTACCATGGTAGTTCTGCCATGGTAGGGAGGGGGGTGGGAGGGGGTGGGGTGGGGGTTTAGGGAGAGGGTTAGGGGGGTAGGAATCGTCATTTTCATAAATGGGCACCGTAGGTACTCCAAACAAACTGGTGTAAGCAAGTGGTGTATAAGTAACTGATATCATTTTAGACGCTCCCAAAATAAAAATACGGCCTAACATAATTTATTGTTGTTCCAGCCCAAGTGTCATTGGTTTTTCCTAAAAAAAGCCTTACTAGACTAAATTTTGCCCATTTATAAAAAAACTTTCAAAAAATATTATCAATTTTATCCGATCTTTCCAAAAATAATCTTAGCTTCACTTTAGAGATAATGCAGGTGTTATGAATATTTACAAACGATTTATTTAACATTTAAGTCATTTAAATGTGCGGGTGAAATTAATATGTGAAAAAACTAATTTCAGATATTTAATAGTTTTGTTTAAACATTCAGCAAAATAGACTTCATATTTCTCTTTAACATTAACCTTTTTATAGAAATATTTTTTAAAAAATTATTTTAGAAAAAATATGATAATAAAAAATACAATAATATAACATGGTGCATGTTATAGTATTTGTTATTTGAATTATTTAGAATTTTAATTTTAAAAAAAACAAAAAAAAGATTCTTTAAAAAAAATAATTTGTTACAAACACATTAAAATTTTATAAAGATTTATTTTTTAAAAAAAATTGGTAGATCACAAAAAAAAACACTTCAAAGTAACGAAGCTTGAGGATCGAGTTATAACTGGAAATAATGTAGGTGAAAAGATATTACTACCTAGAATTTATTTAACACGGTCTGCTACAAGATTGCCTTTTAGGTTTTAGAGAAAACAATTTACTATTATGGTTTCATATGCAATGACCATAAACAAGAGTCAAGGACAATCTCTTTCTAAGGTTGTAGTGTTACTTAAAAAACGGTGTTTAGTCATAAACAATTGTATATTGTCATGTCCAGGGTTAGGAGACAAGTGTATGTTGCCATGTCCATGAAAACAATTGTATTTTGATATGCAATGATGGAGACATGGCAGCTGATGAGATCACTAATGTTATTTTTAAAGAAGTTTTTCATAATATTTAAAGTATTTTGCTTACAACATTTTTCGTATGTTAAAGTGGTACATTATACTCATCATATATATTACATTATGGGTATTACATTCTTCAAGTTATACTTTTTAAAATAAAAAATTAATCGTCTCATACAAAATTGTAAAATGAGTCGTTAATCATTTCTAGATATAGTGTATTATTATTGAATAAACATATCCCGCGTGATGGATATAACCAACTGGCCGGCAAGTTCACAAACGCCTGGGGGTACAAAATTCTGGCCCCGCCTGACGTCACCAACCCTGGGAGACTGGTTGGGTGGATGTCACAAGCGCCCGAGAGATCCGAATGCTTACCCCACATGATCTCACAAATCCCGGTAGACTGACCGGGTGGATGTCGGGGGTCAGACATGTCAGATCGTGACTTCATTTGCATAAGGCTTAAAGTCTGACCAGGCTTGACCTCACCGTACCCGTTAATCTGACCGGGGTGGATGTTAGGAGTCAGAGAAGAGTAAGATCATGACTTGAAGACTGCCCGGGTGGATGGCTTGAAGACTGGTCGGGTTGAAGACTGTCCGGGTTGATGACTTGAAGACTCACCGGCTGGAAGAATAGTAACATCGGTACGTGCTTGACGTGCTTGTTCTTTATTATAAATAGGACTAAAAGCCTCATTTGTGAGGCATACTTTAATTAATACGCACGGCTTGTAACTTTTTAATCGGTCCCTACATTATTAATAACTACTCGGGTTACAGGTGTATCCACCTACAACCCTTCCGCTTTTCGTAACTTAGCATTACATTGGTTTTACACCATCAAATTGGCTCCGACCGTGGGACCTCTTTACAAAAAGAAACCATGACGAACAACAATATGGAATCCATCATCTCCCAAATTTCCACCTCGGTGGAGGGCGTTACCCTGATCCCGGGAGGAATCACATCATTACCTTCTCTTTTCTCCCCCATGATCACCACCTTTACTACTCAAACAACGCCTAGTTAAGCCTTCCAAAACTTTGGACAATTTATGCCCATTTTCCAACAACCTGCATGATTTACTCTTTTCATCCCTGGGATGTATCTCCATGCTCGGGCTCAAAATACATCTATTCCCAACACGTTGGGGCATCCCCCGCTGTTTCAACCGGCTAGTACCACTCGGTCGGTCATCCCGACAAAACCACTCGGGGAGCTGGAAATGGCAGGTCCTTCTCGGTCCACGAAGAGCAGATCCCACAAACTCCCCACTCAGGTCACACGCGACGAGGACGTGCGCTCTATACGCAGCAGGGATGAAGACTAGGACATTCCTAAGAGCCAGAAAAAGATGCAGGGCAAAGCGGTCCAGCTAGAAGGTTCACGACGGTCAGCGTTCCAATGGCTGGGACACGAGGGGCGGAACCAGAACCGACCGGCCAAGGAGCGGTTAGGGGTGAAGGTTCCCCAGCCACGCGCATTCTATAGACTAGGAGGTGGTAGGCGACCCGGTCGGATCGGGCGCTCTGACCCTCTCTCTGTGATGAGCCCCAACACAGCAGGGTGCCTAGAGTGGAGGGCGAGGCGGAAAGCCAGCCTAGGGTGGCGATGCGCACGCATGCTGAACCACCCAGCAACTAGGTGGACGGGTCAGAAGAACGTTTGGAGAGGCTCTTGAAGAGGGTTCGTAGGGAGGAAAAGAAGAAAGTGGTGTTGAACAACCATTTTATCATCCACTAAGATCGGATATTACCGTGCCAATGTTCAATAAAGTTGATCTTTTTTCTGAAAAGACTATTCGCAAGGGAAGGTTGCAGACCCATTTGCCCGGTCATTGTTCAATCGAATTCAGCATCACAAAACCACTCGGGTGGAACACCATACTTTTTTAGAAAAGATGGTAAGATTGGTCGGGGAAGGTTGCAAACCTGTCTGCCTGGTCAATGTTCAATCGAATTGAGCATTACAAAACCACCCGGGTGGAACACCATACTTTTTCAGAAAAGATGGTAAGACCGGTCGGGGAAGATTGCAAACCCGTCTACCCGGTCAATGTTCAATCGAATTGAGCATTACAAAACCACCTCGGATCACCATACTTTTTCAGAAAAGATGGTAAGACCAGTCAGGTAAGGTTGCAAACCTGTCCGCCCGGTCAATGTTCAATCGAATTGAGCATTACAAAACAACCTCGGTGGAACACCATATTTCAATCGAATTGAACTCAAAAAAAGAAAAAAGTTAAAAGTTAAAAGTATGTGACACAAGCGCGGTCTGGTACGCTGGTCTCACACCAATCTTGCACATATTAAAAAGACTGCGACCTAGTCGAACTGGTACACTGGTCCCACACCGGTCTTGTGCAGTATAAATAAAAAATAAAGAAAATATGTGACCTAGTCGAACTGGTACACTGGTCTCATACCAGTATTGCACATATTTTCCAACAAGCCTGAGCCCAATCGAATTGGGTACACCGGTTGCACATCGGTTTCAGAAAAAAAAAGAGAGCCCGGTCAGAGTGGGGACATCGGGCCTACCTCGATCTTCGATATCTTTCCCTGAACACTTTTCACCTAGGCAAAGTCAGGGTGAACCAACCTACCCAAGATAAATAAAAAAAACCAAAACTGCCCACCCGATCAAGATTCAGACTCGAGTGAGTGACAGGGTCACGATGGATTCACTTAACTTGGCTCGGAGGAATTTTTCAAGAATATGTTCCCCCGTTTGCATGGCCGAGGCCATGAAGGGAAAGAGTTGATTGTCTTGCTCACTCAGAGGACAAGAGCTCTTGTTCACTCGGGTGAAAGAAGAAATAACTCACATGATCAACTTTGAAGCAAAGCCCGGGCATGCTGTGTCAAAACCCACCCGGGTGGCTTATTTTCTACTCTGGTAGAAAGAATGGTGAGATGCGTTAGACCGGGTAGATACAGCTTGGCCGTGAACAAAGAGACTGAGAGTTCGAACGGCCGGGTTAAAATCCTTCACCCAGTTGCTCAAGATCCCGTACAGCCCACGATGCTTTTGGTACTGACCGGTCCCAAACCCAAAGATACCAATGTCATCAATAAGTTGCTGGGACACTTCGAAGAACCGTATGCCGACCTCCCAGTCAGGAAGTGCCTGGGCAGCAAACTTCTCTGGTTTGCGCAGCCCAAGCAACGGCATGAACAACCCGGTCAGAGCGCTCCCTCTCCATCTCAGCCCTTAGCTGGGCATTCTCCTCCTCCAGCTGGCCCGTCTGCCCGGCCTTCTCTGCCAACTCAGCGATCTTCCACTTAGCCTGCTCATTCGACTCCTTGGCAGACTTTAGCAAGCCCTCGTGCTTGGCAAAGAGACCCTGGTAGGCTTCGGCCTGTTCGACCAGCTTCTCCTTCATTTTCTCGGGCGCCTTGCATCCTTCCGGGCGGTGACCATCATGGCCTCCACAGCCGGGTGGCCCACTCCTGCCGATCCAGGAAGAGGAAACGACGCGACAACTAGGCGTCGGCGTACCAGATTTCCTGTAAAAACTTTCCCGCCAACCATACCCGAGGATTCAAAATTCAAAATTATTCACACATTTGATTCCCGCCCTTGATGGTGCCCACAAAGCCGAAAATTGGAGGACTCCTTGATGGATATAACTCACTGTACCACCTGGAAAAGTTCACAGACGCCCGAGGGTACCGAATTCTGGCCCCACCTGACTTCACCAACCCTGGGAGACTGGCCGGGTGGATGTCACAAGCGCCCGAGAGACGGTCCCTACATTATTAATAACTACTCAGGTTATATGTGTATCCACCTATAACCCTTCTGCTTTTCGTAACATAACATTACGTTGGTTTTACACCATCACCGTGCAACGCACGAGTGAAATACTAATTAATCTATAGACTTAACAGAATCTATAGATACTAATATATAATTTATCACAATCTTTTAAAATATGAAGAATAACCTTCTTAGAATTTGAAAAGTGAGACCTTCAATCCTTTTTTTTCTTTTAGCTTTCCTTTTTCTTTCTTTTTATTTTTGTGTAAAGAAAACCAGCACCAGTGGATGCCTTGCTTCTAACGATAAGGTATTGCGCTGAAATGTTGAATACACAAAGCAAAATGATGAGACACCCAATTGAAGGGGCCGCCAAAAGCCACCCTGCCCCGGTCCCGGTTCAATTGATTGATGATCCGAATTTGAGGGGCCGCCAAAAGCCACCGGCCCTGGTCCGTGTTCAATTGATTGATGATGGATTTGCCCCCGACTTTCCATAAAAGTTGTACCCTTCTCTCTCTTGTCCTAACGAGAGAACAATTCAGGCATCGCGAGGTCTTCTAGAGAGAGGGAGAGAGAGAGAGAAACACAGAAGGATCGGAAGCAACTGTGTAGAGGGCAGACAGAGAGGGAGATGGGCACCCTACAAACATGGAGGAAGGCCTACGGTGCTCTCAAAGATCACACCAAAGTAGGCCTTGCCCATGTCAATAGCGATTTCAAGGTCTTCCTTCTCCTTCTTTTCATTTCTCTGTGTCAAAATCTTCAGCTGTGTCAATATGTTTGAGCGCTGTTCCTGTTTTAGCTTTATGGATTTATGCTGGTATGAATTCCGCTTAATATCGATCTTTGACGCCCCATTTTCCGTTTCTTAGGATGTGGACGTGGCGATCGTTAAGGCTACGAATCATGTTGAGTGCCCGCCCAAAGATAGACAAATTAGAAGTGAGTGTCCCCCACTCTTCAGCAGATTTATCTGCTGTATGCTAGCCGTATGTCTGCGATTCATTTTTTCCTTATGTGCTTGAAGAAAACTTGATCAAGTTACTTGTTTTCTTGTTTTGGAAACATGGACCTTTTACCTAGTGGAGCTTGTAGTGTCTCTTCAACTCTGGGTGTTCTGTTTTGATTTTGTCCGATGGAATTGTGTGGAAGTGAAAATGCATTTTGTTGAATTGGATGTTAAGGAAATTTTTGAGTTTGGGGGTTGGCTTCACATTTCTCTATTAAGAATGTCTAAAGCTAGATTTGGGGTATTCTATTTTGTTTCTTGTTGCAGAAATTATGGTTTATACATCAGCAATGCGGCCCAGGGCTGATGTTGCATACTGCTTGCATGCACTTGCTAGGAGATTAGCAAAGACACATAACTGGACGGTATGTACTGCAATTTACAGATAGGGTTGAATCGAGATGCTATGCTCTTACCTTTGGGCTTACAGTATGTGTTGATCTGATTTCAATGAAAATTTCCATTTTAAGATAAGTTCTTGGTTTGATCGTTTGAATGTCATTGAACATTTTACTTGAGATATCAAGTTATTTATTATCTTCTAAGATCATCGTGGCAAGGCTACCTTAAATTTTATTCTAGAGTGCAGTTTACTTTGTGCCTAGTCCATCATTTGCTGTTATGATAGTGATGGTTTTGATATCTCTACTGCATAAACAATTATTGTTGGAATGAAGGAACAATACAGAGGGTGATAGAGTCATGCCAGAACTTGCAGTTAATTTTTTGTATTTATTCATTTAATGTCTTGCAAGATATTTAAATGCATCACTTTTTTACAAAACTTTCCTATGGTATTCTGATGGGAGGAAACAGATGAAAGTTATGCTACATATAGGAATCAGATAGTCAGATACATTTTAACAGAGTGCTTCAGCAATTTCATAAATGAAATTGCTGCTGACTTTTCAATATACAACCAGTATCCTCACAACCAACTTTTTTAGCCTTCTCTTATATGGTTTTATAATTTTTGGATGAGTGGAGTTGAAACAGCCTCACTACAATTTTAGGTTGGGGTAAGGTCTCCAATTCCATAATCACTCTCGAAACACCACTTGTTGGACTTTACTGGGTTGCTATTGTCGTGGGGATGAGTGGAGGGAGTGCTGGTAAGTATGAAAATGCTAGGATGACATCACCTATACTGTGGGGCAGACCATCTCTGTAAAGCTGCAAATATACCCTCTTCCCATATGCTTTAATATTCATTCATTCAAGGGACCTTTTACTCCCTTTTAGCAGTTTTATAAGTAAAGTGTTTTGTCATGTATTTAGTATATTCAGTATAAAACCACCAGTGGTCTGATGGCCTATGCCTCCCTTTTTTGGCAATGTTGGGAGTTCGAACCCAGCCAATCATCTCTTGTTATCTTTAAATGTTTGTTGAAAAACATGTACTCCCTCCATCCCGCTTTGTTTGTCCACTTTCTTTTTGCACAAATACCAAGATGGGGTGGGTAATGTCCAAAATGCCCCTTATTATTTTGAGTGTTTGACGGTTGATTGCCTATCCTTCCTTGCACGATTCCACTGGATCTGTAAATGTCCATCCTTCACTTCATTGGACGATGTTGGCACCATCCACAATGTTTGCCGGAACCCTATGCGATTATTTACAGATTCAATTCATTGAGTGTGTCTGCATCAGAGATCTGAAGCTCGCACGATGCTAGATGCAGGATGTTGCTGCGGCTAAACGAATCCTAGTAGACGCAGCGACGACTTGGAGGCAGCGTCGACGGCAGGCTATAGAACAGGCAGCGTCGACGGCAGGCTATAGAACAGGAAGCGATGACGATGGGTAAGATGGAGGCTTTAGCGATGACAAATTTTTCAGTTTCTCCCTCTTTTTCCGCATCAGTTAGAGGAGAGGGTATAATAGGTTTTTCATCTCTTTTTTTACCTTAAATGGAAAGTGGACAAATATAGTGGGACGACCCAAAAAGGAATACTGGACAAATATAGTGGGACGGAGGGAGTATAATATTTCTTTAAAATTACCTGGAATGAGATCAATCATCAGAACTAGTAAATCCATGTTAATCACTGCAGATCATTCCTGTATAATTTCCAATATACCCTCGTCCCGTGCACTTACATATTTATTCACTCAAGGATATACTAGTAAATCCATGGTATAAATGCCTTTTAGCATTTTTATATCTGTTATGTCATGCATTCAGTAATGTATAATATTTCTTCAATTTCCTTTACGCATATCTGGAATGAAATCAACCAACGGAATGCTTTTCAATTGAGTGTGGATATGACAAGTTTTTTTTTGGGGGGGGGGGGTCAGGTGTTGGCGGTCAATTAATTTGAACATAGTTTTTCCTTACTATGAAGCTTCAAAATGATAACTTCTGTTAAGTATTTCAACCTGTGCTCAGAGGTTGCTGGTTACGCGAATGTGTTCCTTTTGGCCCTTGTTGAAGGAAGTATGAAACTATTGTACTCATGTGTGAGGTGTTGGTAGTTGACATTAATATAAAAAGAGTCACTTATAGCTTTGTATAACCTTTTCTAAATTTATGATGAAATTTACTTGGTTTGATCATTTGCATGATGTCTGTTTGCTAGTTACACATATGCACTAGCTAAACCTTGGTGGGTTGGAAAACAATTTATTGATAGTTGAGAAAATTACCATGTATTCATTCACTCTTATGTAATTAGAACATGAATATTTGTGTGGACATAAAGGGGATATTGTAAAACACCTCATTTTCTAAAATATCTTTGCAACTTTCATTCTTTTAATGCGGCTGATATTTTCTTTAAATAGTATAGAGATTGAACTTATTGATATTGTTTCATCCCATGTAGGTGGCACTAAAGACACTCATTGTAATCCATAAAACATTGAGGGAAGGTGATCCTACTTTTCGCGAGGAGCTTTTGAATTTTCAGCAGAGAGGCCGCGTTCTTCAAATGTCTAATTTTAAGGATGACTCAAGCCCTATTGGTCAGTAGAAAAAGTGTTGTACATTTTTATTGTATTTCTCCATGCTTTGAGTTTCAGTAACTGACCAGCTTTCGATTATGCTATGAGATCATCTAAGTTGTGAGCACATTTTTTTTTTTAAACTCAGCTTGGGATTGCTCTGCATGGGTACGCACATATGCTCTCTTTTTGGAAGAACGGCTTGAATGCTTCAGGGTTCTAAAGTATGATATTGAAGCGGAGAGACTTCCAAGACCTGCTCAGGGCCAAGAGAAGGTGCTTCCTAATTTAATGGCTGAAATAGGGATTTGATCCCTGACCCTTGTTTCTTTTACTTTTTCGTAAAGAAAGAAGTTACAGTAAATGGGTGATAACACAGTTGTACTCGTTATGGACGAATTGGATTAGTGTTTAATTATGTCACTGTGTAGCAGCATAGGAATCAAACTAAGAAGGATATTCAAGTCCCACTCCGACATCCACCCACAACAAGCAACAACAAACCTAGTATAATACCACATAGTGGGGTTTGGGGAGGGTGGTGGGTAGGTGTACGAAGACCTTACCTATACAAAACACAAAGAGATTATTTCCAAGAGTCCTGAACTCAAAACACAGAAGAACCTGATGAAAAAATGAAAGGGAAAAAGAAAAAAGAAAAGGGAGGTACATAAAAAGGAGTAAGCACACACCTAACTACAACAAAGTATGGCAACAAATCCTATGCATGGGTAGACCGCACCCCACAAGGCCTACCCTACCACTATAATCCATGACTTCAACCACTTCTATCTAAGGTCATATCATCGGTTAGAATTGAAAGCCGTAAGTCGTTTCTAATCACCTCCCTCCAACTCTTTTTAGGACGGCCTCTAGTCCTCGGGCTCTCCTAACGCCCCTTACCTCAAGTCTCTCACACCTTTTCACCGGTGCATTAGTACTTCTCAACATGTGTCCAACTCATCTGGTAGATCGAAGTGTGTTGAATAGGAGGTGTCTTCGGTGAGAATGAGAAAGGATTTATTGAAACAAGATGTGGGATAGGTAGGAACATACCGGTGTGTAAGTAGAGTCGTAGGGGTAGAGATGGTGAACCTCGAAAACTTCAATAAGTGACGGGTTGTGAGAGGGGAGGGGGTATGTAGTATCGAAGGTAAAGTAGGTGGCCACTCCAATATGATGAACAATATCCCCATTGATCTCCCCATCATTCTGAAAGGTGGACCCCAGGAACCTAAACGTGTCCCTCTTAGGTACTGGTAGAATATAATCCTCACTTTGATTTTTGACTCACTCCTCAAACAGCATTCCAAATACTCAGTCTTTGGAAAGTGTTGTCGTGCTCTTACTTTGTTCGTGCATATGTGTTTACCATAGTTGTCACAATGCCAAGGCGAGGCGCGTCGCTAGTGTACTGCCATAACGCCTAGACAACTAGGCGACTGCCTAAGCGACCTAGGCAGCAACACACAGGAAATCTGGATTGGTATACGTTAGTAACACTAAGTATAACTAATACAAATATAAATATACATGTTCTCTTAACCTAATCAAAATTTCAAATAAACATGCATAAAAAATATTTTTTTGAAGGAACATGCATAAAAAATATAAATGCACCTTAATGTGAAAAAAGAAGAATATAAAATACAAAATATGATTAAAAAACAATATGCAAATTCTTAGTGCAATGTAAATACTGATGGTGTTTCCTTTGTATTTTTTGTGCTCCAAGCCCAGGGTCTCTTGAAAACATCCTCTCTACACACAACCTCCGCAAACCCTACTTTTCCAGGGGTTGTTTACCTTAGTTTGCTCAATCAAACATGCACTATAGAATATGTCTCCACTCTTCTAACCTATCAATGAGTACCTCATGAGTTGCATCAATCATAACAATACCATAGTACCTCCCATTTGATATGCTGCTTCAGAACATCCATCACTATGGCAAACACTTGGGACTAACGGTAGACCCCTACCCACTCCCGCTCACTGATATATACGCAAAGGATCTTTTGACCCTTGAACCCCGGGTCATATTATGGCCCGGCCCCTACAGTGCTCCGTTCGTAAAATTGATGGTTCGTACCCCCCTAACCCTCCCTAAACCCTACCCCCTGCCCCCTCCCCCAAATAGACGATTGGCTACAGTAAGGGTGGGGTGGGGTGGACAGGTAGGGGGCAGGGAGGTAGGGTTTAGCGGGGTTACGGGGGGTAGGAACCATCAATTTTACGAACGGAGCACCGTAGGGGCCCTGGGACATAATATGACCCGAGGTTCAAGGGTCAAAAGAACCATTTTGATATATATATATATATATATATATATATATATATATATATATATATATATATATATATATATATATATATATCAAAGGAATATTTTGACTCCTGGTCTCACGATTTTTTACTTGGACTCTTTGGAAGGTCTATAATTAAAAATTAATATGCTATATGAAGGTGAGGCTTTTTCTTTGAAAAGGGAAATGTTGGAATGAAAAAATGTATTCAAGCTTGGTGCTGGATTAACAAAAGGGACCTTCAAATTCTACATAATGATTAAATTCTAAGCTTTGGTCTTGTACACATCTTTAGTACTCCCTCCGTTCCGTTAGAATCTTTACACTTTGACTTTGCACGGGTTTTAATGTAATATAAAATTTGCTTTGACTTCCAATTATGCCCTTCTCTTTATAATTAAGCCTTTCATCTTCCGTCTCAATCCACCCCACCTGCCTCTATTCCAAACTGCACTCCATCCTAAATCAAAATCCAAAAAACAAAAATCACCATATATTGCTTATTATCTACCGCTTGAATTGTAAAATTCAAAATGAAAATGACTTCATCGCCAAGATCAGGTAGTTGCTAAGTAATGTGGTAGTGTGCCTAAAGTCTAGGAATAGTTACTAGGTAATGTGGTAGTGGGCCTAAATTCTAGGGATTGGTAGTTATTTGGCTTCTATAAATATTGAGGCTCATTATTTGTAAAAGTTATTCAGAAAGTAATTTAATATTTATTATTGGAGATTCTCCTTGGCTTTATTATGTATATGAGTTTAAGACTCTTGCTCATATTCTAATAAAGATTTCCCTTCATCTTTATTATTTTATGAATTTAGATTCTGATTTCATAATTTGATATAGACTTCCTTTCATTAATTCTCCCTCCCAGTCTTGAGTTCTATCATTTGATACCAGAGCCATATGATCTTTATGGGTTCTAGAAAAATTCAGTTTCTCCATTTTCCCCATACATTTTTCCATCCAACAGTTATTCTCCTTAAGAAGTACACCAATTGCTTTAAACTGTAGCTCGCCTTGATGTCATTAATTCCAAACAGGCAGCATCTGAAGTTCAAGGTACGGCTGTTAATTATGTGACACCCTACAAAAGAATCTCATCCAGTAAATTCCATCTAAAGGTGAAAGGAAAGAAAATTTGAAAACAGAAGGGCAGGATTGCATTTGTTTGTAAGCCCAAACCCAATTCCTTTGTAGCCAACCGCTTCAATTTCTTTAGTCCAACAAGTAATTTCCTGCGTGAGGACAAAGAATTTCAGTTGCAACTCTAAGTTGGCCCCTGATTGTGAATGCAATGGTGTTGTCCTCACATTGCTCTTCCATGAATCTGACTAGAGCATCTCTATTGGACAGCAATCGGCAATAGCAATCCAAGTTGAGGCTGCTCCAATATGAAGGAATGATTACTATTGGTTGCCACTATCAAACCTCTTCATTCTCACCAAAAGAATTGGATATAGGAGCCATGATTTTTATGCAAATTACTGATGAGAATGCCTCCGATTTGGGGTTACAAAACTCTTATATACGTGTCAACACCATCCTGGGAAATTCTATATCATCACTGATAAGGCTTCAAGAACCCTTGGATAGTGGTGTCATGCATCAATTTATCTTTGAAGCTGTTATGCCATATTTGGTCCCTTTTGTTTGAAGCACCATTGCTCTAATTGGATATTTTTATTATATTGTCTTCCTACCACCTATACCGAAACCTCCAGATGTGCAAAGAAGCTATTGTTTAGATTTTGCCTTAAGGACAATGCAAATTTTGGAGGGGATAATGATAGAGTGCCACATATGCTTTTATTTTATGTTATTAATATTTATAATAGAGTCAGGTCAGATGTTTTGTTTTATTGTTAGTTACTTAGTAGTAAATAATGTGTAAGTAGACCTAAATTCTAGGAGTAGTTGCTAAGTAATGTGGTAGAGTGCCTAATGGCTAGGAATAGTTACTAGGTAATGTGGTAGTGGGCCTAAATTCTAGGGATTGGTAGTTATCTGGCTTCTATAAATATTGAGGCTCATTATTTGTATAAGTTATTCAGAAAGTAATTTAATATTTATTATTGGAGATTCTCCTTGGCTTTATTATGTATATGGGTTTTAGTTTCTTGCTCATATTCTAATAAAGATTTCCCTTCATCTTTATTATTCTATGTATTTAGATTTTGATTTGATAATTTGATAAAGACTTCCTTTCATTAATTCTCCCTGGCAGTCTTGAGCTCTATCAGGTACTCTGCAACTTCTTTTTGGCTAAAAGTGTCATTTTTTGTTCTGTTATATCATTTAACCATCAGGGTTACAGCAGAACTAGAGAATTGAATAGTGAAGTGCTCCTAGAGCAATTGCCCGCTTTGCAGCAGCTGCTGTATCGCCTCATCGGATGCCGGGTAAATTGACCAAGCTCAGGGTTAATATAACACCCGACTGTATAAAGCATTCCTATATTTGTAATATTGAAAAAGCTTTATATTGTTATATTNTTTTGTTCTGTTATATCATTTAACCATCAGGGTTACAGCAGAACTAGAGAATTGAATAGTGAAGTGCTCCTAGAGCAATTGCCCGCTTTGCAGCAGCTGCTGTATCGCCTCATCGGATGCCGGGTAAATTGACCAAGCTCAGGGTTAATATAACACCCGACTGTATAAAGCATTCCTATATTTGTAATATTGAAAAAGCTTTATATTGTTATATTGAATGTTTGTTCTTTTTTTTAAAATACAGCCTGAAGGAGCAGCTTTGGGAAATTATGTGATACAATATGCACTAGCTCTGGTATGTTATCTCGTTTCAAAGTTGAGTTTCAGTGTTGTTTTATGTAAGAATGGTTTGCATGCCTTCTATTTGATGTAGTTAATTAAGCGCCTTCTGTGTGTGCAGTTATACCCACTCACTTTGGATTTCTTTTATCTGTTGCTTATCTTAATACCTTCCGTGAAACCACACCGTATAAATGTTGATCTAAACATTGCTTAAATATACTTCTATTCACTTTCAGGTCCTCAAGGAGAGTTTTAAAATTTACTGTGCAATTAATGATGGAATCATTAATCTTGTTGACAAGGTAAATTTACTGAACTGTATCAACTAGATTGTATGTTCAGCATAGATAACTACATAATGTCTGTTTGCGATTATTTTTCTGATGACTTCATTTCAGTTTTTTGAAATGCCAAGGCATGAAGCTATCAAGGCCCTTGACATATATAAAAGAGCTGGCCAACAGGTTACAGTATTTTAATAATATGTTTTACTATATCTTTGATTATCAGTGTAGAGTTTTTCATTTAGTGCATTGACTGTGTTCTCTGCTGCAGGCTTCAAACCTCTCTGATTTCTATGAAGTTTGCAAAGGATTGGAACTTGCCAGGAATTTCCAATTTCCTATGCTCAGAGAGGTATTGAGACCAGTGGGAATTTCATCTTCAAATATTTTATCTTTCCTTGTTGATATTTTAATGTGCGTGATATTGGTTATCTTTCGTAGCCTCCACAGTCGTTCCTAGTGACAATGGAAGAGTATATAAGGGAAGCTCCACGGATAGTATCGGTTCCCAGAGACACAACGGTATTATGTAGTGAACTTACTATATTTAGCTGATTGGATGTTGTCTTAGATTAATCATACATTATTGTAATCTTCATTAAAATATATAGCAGTTCATGAAACCAATGATGAACAATTTGTTCTGATAACACAGGAAAACCCGGAGAGACTTATGCTGACATATAAACAAGAAGATGAGCCGTCACCCTCTGAAGAACACAAAGAATTGGCTGATGAACTTCCAACCGACCCCCCGCCAGCTGAGGGTGTTGCAGTTTTGATCACTGAAACTCCTGCCTCTGTGCCTCTTCCTCCTAGTGGAAATGAAACTGATGATCTACTTGTTAGTTTTCTGTTTCTCTCATTGATGTGTGTGCGCATGCATATAAATGTCTCTTTAAGTCTTCTTATGTATTTGATCACTGCATTCATGCTTTTCATAGTATTCTTTTTATTCATCATATATTGGTGGACTGCTTTAGGGATTGAATACTCCCGCAACAGATGTATCTGCGATTGAAGAAAGTAATGCTTTGGCTTTGGCCATAGTTCCATCTGGTATTTTTTCATAATTCTCATCGTCAATAGCATTGCATAAAAAGACTATAGGAGCTATTGATCATTTTAAGAAGATTCTATGTATGTAGGAACATCCCCTTTTGACTTGGAAGCAGCACATCCTAAAGATTTTGATCCTACAGGATGGGAACTTGCCTTAGTCACTGCTCCCAGCAGCAATTTGTCCACTGCTCAGGAGAGGCAACTGGTAAAAAGCGCAGTCAAATGTTCCAATGGCGTCTTCTGTTCTATTTATATTACAGCCTCAGCATATAGACCGGGACATGATATGTTTTTCTCACTGTTTGATATCTGGGCAGGCTGGTGGTTTGGATTCACTCACCCTAAATAGTTTGTATGACGAGGGGGCTTTCAGAGCATCACAGCAACCTGTGTATGGAGCTCCTGCTCCCAACCCATTTGAAGTAGCTGATCCGTTTGCTATGTCTAACACCACCATGGCTGCCCCTCCATCTGTAGTTCCAACAGCGGGTGCAATGCCAAATCCTTTTGGTGGTCCTTTCCAACCAGTGGTGTACCCACAGGGCATCCAACCACCTCAAAATGTACTGATGGGCGGGCAACATAATCCGTTCGGTGATGCTGGGTTTGGTGGGTTCCCTTCCACAAGTCAAGCCGCTCACCAACAGAATGCCAACCCATTCGGGAGCACTAGCCTGCTGTGACAAAAGTGGAGCGCGAGAACATATGAAAGGTGAAATTTGCATAGGAATTATTTGGGTTACATTTTGGGTTAACGAGTGGCATGGCTTGATGTGTAGGACTGGTTCTCAGACTCACAAATGTGTTGGAATGTAAAATGCATAATATGGATGATTTGATACGTATTGACGGTGCTATTGGTTTTGAAGTTTCTCCCAGGCAACTTCAAACATTGATTCTTTCAATCTTGACTTCATTGTTGTATACGGAGAATTTTATTTTGTTTAAGAATTCTAAGAAATCAACACTTGTTGCCTTCACACTACCGATGTTATTGACATGGACTAGAAGTTTTGAGCTCTCCCCAGTTGTAAGTTTATACTTCATCCTCGTAGGTTTCACCTCGTGATGTCGTGATGGAGAAAGTTAATCATATACATTGTAATTATAACTTGCTACCCTTTGGTTTCCATTAAAGTGAATGAAGCCATTCCTCCACATTATTAGATGCCATCTCTTAACATCTTTAACTCTTTCCCTAGGATTTCAAATGTCAATTCAGGACGGGAGATGGCACCGGCACCTCAACTTTCTCAACATATCTATCCAATCATGTTTGAGATGTCTTAAACAACAATGTCCCACACCTCCAATCGAGGGCCTTGGACATTCTTGTTTGGAGTCTACATAGTTGCTAAGAACATCTATCCAATCAAGTCTACATTCAACAAAACCTATCCATGCCACGAATCACATCTCTTGGGAGTACATTTGGAAGCTCCCTATAACATCAAATTGCCAATTTCTCTATCGTGGCTTTCTACACAAATAAGTCATAGTCAGTCAACGTGACATGATATTGAATAGCAACTTGGAGGGTACTAGATATTGTTTGGCGGAGAATGAGACAATCATTATCCACAATATGAGAAATTGTCCGCGATCTCCAGTTATTTGAGAGAAATTCTCGCTACCACCGAGCTTCATTACCTTCATGGATGCAACTTCTTAGATTCTTAGCTTTCACTCAAACAAAAATGCCTGCCTTGTATGCCATCTTTTTGTGATCGTGGTGAACTTGAGACCTTGATATAATGACTCAAGAGTAATGGGCTATAAAGCGCATAAAAATTCTTAGCTGATGGGATGTGGAAGACCTTGGAATTTACATATAAGAAACCAATATAGTGGAACCAATTCTAGTTCATTGGGTTAGGCCCCAAGCTGATTCGGTGAAGCTCAATGTGGTTGGTAGCACATTTTGCAACCTTAGACATGTTGGATTTAGAGGTTTGGTTCAAGATGACCAAGGAAGATGGCTTGGAAGATTTTAGGGAATACCTTGGCTTTAAAGGAAAGTGGCGGCCATCCAATGCCATGGCTTCCTACTTGCCGGGGACAATGGTTTGAGATGAGTCTTAATTGAATGTCACTATGAGGAGGCAATACGACTTGTCTTGGAGCCTATTTTCAATTGCCTCTACACTCATATTCTTGTTTGCCAGGACCCAATAAAGCAAGTGTGGGAGATTCACCATCCCCATACACTCTTGGAGGGGCAGATTTTACATTGATAGGCTGGCTAAAATGGATATCGAATGTAACAAGTGTCGACACACTCAAGGTTCTCGAAGCACCACCATAAGGGATTAAGCCAGTTCTCGAGATGGACTACCAAGTCACTCTTGCAAGATACTAAGTTATCTTTGTTTCTTCTTTTCCATTGTAACCAAAAACATAAAATTGAACAAGATCTTAGTTTTAAAGATTTAAGATTATTGATACATTATTTTTTCCATGTCCATTGCACATGTTGCTATTAAAAATTCTGACTTCTATATGAGCGCGACATGCACCTCTAGAAAAGTACTTTGAGATAGGGAGAGAGAAAATCTTAGGCAAAAGACTAGGAAATACTCTATCACTTTCTTCATTAGCTTTTAGTTCCAGCTTCATATCATATACTCCCTTCGTTCTCACTCTTTCTGTCCACTTTTTCTTTTTGGACAGTCCTACTGTATTCATCCACTTTCCATTTTTGGGAAATTTAAGACTACCACAAAAACAATTTTACCCCTCATTTACCTTTCTAACTATACCCCCAACCACCTCGAATTAAAAGGTATCTGCTTCGTACTCTTAATTTGGTCCATCCCTCCCTTATCTTGTTCTTCACACCCCTAGATTTGCTCAATGTACACATTTCTAAGATCTGCACTTTCTCTCACTTTATCTTCTTTGTTTTTTAACCCTAGATCTGGACCTTCTCTCTCCATGTATCTTAGAATCCAGGGTGAGAAAGAGAATCTATCCATGTCATATTGAAAGTGATAATCATAGATTCCGTTCAGTTGCCCACCGTATATGCGCAGTTAGCCGACGAGGAAGGCTTGGTCCACCGTGTGAGGTGGCTAGTGAACCAATTGCCATCAATGCGTGTTCGAACTACATATGAGAAAAATTCCACTCTGCAACTGAATCTAATGATTACAATGAAGACAAAGTTGAAGTCGTTGCTGATTCTAAGTACAAGTATATACCACATCCAGTATCTGATATTTGAAGACGATAATGAGTGTGTGTTTGAGTTCTGAAGCAGCTGGATCTAAGTGAGCCCTAACTCATGATTTCATATCTATATTATAAAGAACAATAGTCCCTAAACATTGTTTATCGTCTCGTGTGATTTAAACATAGCTTTAGTTCATAGAGAAGGCGCTCTAGTAGCATTGATGAGAACTACGATGTTCTGATTATGAGGATGCTACAAAGATAGAGGCTTCGTCTAAAATATCCTTAGTCGAATATTATGATAATATAGACGTCATAATATATAAAGACTAATACCTATGAGATAAGATAGCTGCGCCTCATAGGCTATAGATAAAGTGTTATCAGAATCTATACATAGGAAAACATATTACATATATTGCTCGGTTGGCCCTCTATGAAAAAATATATAAGTATTATGTTAATGTTTTAGTATTATTTTCATGCGAACATTAGTACAACTATCCTTCGACTTGAAGTCATTACGATCTTTGGTAAGTTGATTTGCATACTCTGATACGTACTTAGTGCAATCTAAAATATTCGTGGATGTTCAATTATGTTCTGGGTATGCAATGAAAATTAAGCAAAGATGTGAGTGACGTAGATAGAATTTATCCCTTTCTTAGTGAAGTATAATATATAACAGTCCAGTGATTGATGTGAGTTTGGAAGTGCATGGTGAGGCCGAAATAAATATGTTATTTGATTCGCACAAGTTAATAAATGAATCGGTAAACCATTGATTTAACTCTAACAAGGTAATAAATCCCATAGACCCATACCTTGTATTAAATCAAGATATTATTACTGATAAAAGGATAAGAGTTGTACAAATAAGATGTGTCGTTATAAAAATTGTTCCGAGAGCTTCATAACTATAACTTGGGGTGATAATGTGTTCCTATATATCGCTTATCACTTGTAGTATATAATCAATATTATGGCCAACGTTATAGGTACTTAGAATAGGGACACACACATAGAATATATGAAATTGTAGAAAATTGAAATGGAATAACAAGATATGTATATATCGTGTATATTAATATTGTGTGAAAATATGTATGCATACACGTATATAAAATATATATTTGGATATTTTGATTATAAGATAATTAAGTTTGTCAAATATAATTAATTAATTATATATATATATATATATATATATATATATTCATATACACACACACACACACACACACATATATATATAATAAATTGTATTATTGTTTCTATTATGATTATGGCGTTAAAATGAAATAAATATATTTGGAGATTTTAAGTATATGATAATTAAGTTTGTCAAATATTATTTAAGGAACAAAATATAACATTAATATATATATATATATATATATATATATATATATATATCGGGTGTGGTTCTAGTGAGAATGACTCATAGTGAAAGAAATGAGAATGAAGCAAAGCCATTGGATTAGATGTATCTCCTGTCATCATTTGGCATAGATTTAACCATTCAAATTTCATCAAAAAGTAAAGTCAAAATACGACACCATAAATATAGGGATAACTTATTTTATAGAGGGCATAATGGTATTTTTGAACTACATAATGGACCGGTTATCCAAAGAAGGGTTAGGCGCATCCCCTTTTTAACGCTCTTACCAAAGTTGAAGATTTAGATTCGAAAACAGATTTACAAGTGAGAATATTTCAAGCTTATTTTGATGCGTAAATTTAAAGGTTTTAATTATAGTGGAAAGTGCACATGAGTGCATTCATGACTTTTGAAAATGCAGTATGGTTGATTAAATCTGAATTTTTTATGTTATGTATGACAGATATTTTGTGGGATATCATAGTGCATTCAGTGGCGGACCCAGAAATTTTGGATCGTGGGGTCATGTCTCTGAGATATTTTATCAACACACGGCATGTCGAACGTTAAGTAAAAATGTACTTTCTTGTCGCATTTTTGTATCATTTCAGTTTATAATGTTTAAGTAAAACATTTTTTTAAATCTATTTAAATATTGGTGTCGAATAAATACTTAAAATTGTAGATTTAAAAATAACAAAAATATTTTATGAAATAAGAGATTTGATGACTACATTTTTTAATAAAATGATAGATGAAAACATATAAAGAAAAATATCTAATTTAACTCTGTAAATAATGGATAAGTCAAGCATAACGAGATGATGAGAGTAACTCATAAAGTCAAAGATTATATTTATTAAAAAATATAAAATTGGATTAATTTAAATGCCAATTACATAAATTTGGCATGATATATTTTCAAAAAGAAATATATTTCAGAAAAAAATTGAAAAGATAAATCTAATAAAATTATTTTTATTTCAGTAACCAATTCAATTTTAAATTGATTGATAATCAAAATTTATCCAGTCTGACTTCAAAAGTCAATTTAAACAAATAGTAATTTTTTTCAATATCAATTCGTAAATAAAGTATATATAAAAGATTTTTTATTTTAGAGTTGTTAAAAAAAGTAAAATCAATTATGTGAGGAAAGAATATGACTAGGCAATGAAGAGTGAAAGAAAAACAAAAAACAAAAACAAAAAAGAAACGTACAAAAAAATCGGAAAAGGAAAACAAAATAAACAAAATGTGGTTCGAAAAACAAAAAAGTATATATAAAAGATTTTTTATAAAAGATTTTTTATTTTAGAGTTGTAAAAAAAGTAAAGTCAATTATGTGAGGAAAGAATATGACTAGCAATGAAGAATGAAACAAAAACAAAAAAGAAACGTACAAAAAAAATGGAAAAGGAAAACAAAATAAACAAAATGTGGTTCGAGAATAGGAGCAGCCTAGTTTTGAACCCTCAACCACCAACCGTCAAGTTACCATTGGTACATAAACTGCTTTCCATTCCGTCTACACATCCATCGCAAAACTTTTGCGTTTTGCTTAATATATAATATATTTC